TAGACGTTGAAATACCATATGGGTTCTCTTTTGTTTGTTGGTTTAATGAAGGATTTAGCTGTTTTTGAGCTAAAGTTTTGTTCTTGCTCATTTACAAGAATTTTTTCTTGAAGGTTTAGCAAGTAGGTTTTGTGTTAGGCTTTTGATCTGTCACTTTATGATCCAGATCAGAATTAATCCTCTTTTGTTTTAAAAAATCCTTTTTCTTGATTAGTAACGCATATCCAAGTTTAATTGATATTGTAGCTGCTATGTTAAACTATCATTTGCTGCATGATTAATTCATGTTAACAGGAATCAATCTTTCTTGTGTTTTGCGTAAAATGAAATATATATATATATAGACTGCACATGCAAGTTTCCTTTACTCACACCCTGATGCATTTATAGTCATGATTATTTGTTATAACTTCACTATTAATTAAATAATTTTGCAGGTAAACCGACCGTGGTTACAACATCATCTGGAATAAAAGTGATTCTACCAACTGCTTCGAAACACTCATTATCAAAGGCATCCATGAAAGATAAGGAACTCAAGTCCCGCAGGAAGGTTCATGAGTCAACATCTACACCCAAAGACAAGCGAGCAAACTCACCTACCCCTGATGTTGAAGTGGATAATCCAATGAGAACAAGAAGCAGATCAAAGAATGTATCAAAACAAGCATCTAGAAAAGTTCAGAAGTTGAAAGCAACTACAGTGGGTGGGAGCTCCAAAAAAGAGAAACTTGCTAGAAAGGTGGTTGTTAAAAGCATTAAAAAGAAGAAGTCAGGTAGTCTGCAAACAATCAGGGTCCGACCACACCTAGGCCATTGTGTATGGCTATTCAGTCTCTGAATGATGATCAGAAGAAAGTGGTTGAAGAAATGGGTTTTGGTAGTATATTAAAGATGCGGACAGATTACATACCTACCAAATTAGCATTCTACTTAGTGGACAAGTTAGACACATATATGATGGAGCTTCGATTGGGCCAAGGGACCATAAAGTTGACTACAAAGATGGTGCATGATATGCTGGGGACGCCTATTGGAGGAGTAGATATATATTTGACGGACCCAGCTCCACGATACAAAGAATGTAAAGACTACTTGGAGATCATAATTCCCTGGCAAAAGAGTTCGGATATCTGATGTGATGAAAAAAGTTGAAGAGTCGGATGATGCAGATTTTCAGTTCAAGATTAACTTTTTAATGTTGTTTCTTTCAACAATGGTAGAATGAAATTCGTGTGGTTATTGCAACCCACCAGGGGTTCTTACGTACATAACAGAGGACACTGACATCGGAAAGATAGATTGGAGCAAATATGTCTTTGATTGCCTAAGAACCAGCAAGGACACGTTAAATAGTGAAAAGAACATTGAGACGTTCTACTCAGGGCCAATAACGTTCATTGACGGTACGTATCTTTTTACTTTGAAACTTTTTCTGTTATATAATTGATATAGTATACTAACTACTTCTTACATTTATCGTACAAAGCTTTTGTATGCAGATTTGACAGAATGTAAGAAGTTTGAAATTGAAAGAAGGTGGCCAGCCATCACTGTTTGGAATATGGACTACCTTCGACAGAGGGAGTATTTGGAACTAAAATATGGTGGTTTTGGAACCTGGCCACTTATTGCTGATAGTAGAACAAACAAAGGCAGATCTCCCAATGATTTTTTTGAACGAATCTCGACTAAGAAAGTTTCCTCAAAGACTAAGTTGGAGGTATTTATGAAATTGATTTAATCTTATGTATATTAATCAAGATAACATTAATTTGGACACATTAAACTGTTTGCATAGATCCCATTTCCAAATATGTGTTTTCATGTGTTTGCATAGATACATTCCCATTTCCAAACTGTTTGCATAGACACATTAATCATTGTGGTAGCCATGACTGTTTTAGGTACCACATGAAACCACAACCTTTGGGAATGAGAATGTACCTATGAAACCAAAACAGTAATATGTACCATAGTTATAGGTACCACAGTTATAGGTACCACATGTGTTTGCATAGATACATTCCCATTTCCAAACTATTTGCACAGACACATTAATCATTGTGGTATCCATGACTGTTTTAGGTACCACATGAAAACACAACCTTTGGGGAATGAGAATGTACCTATGAAACCAAAACAATAATATGTACCACATCTTACCACAGCTGTAATACATGAGAATGTGGTACCAAGTGTCTTGATAATTTCGGTAACATGTTGTAACCAAAACAGTTTGGGTTACATGGTGTATACCTTTTAGAGAATTAGGTATCCAATTATTATTTGACTACGAAGTTATATTGTGTTACATTATGGTCTACACAACACTTACTTAGATACTGATGTTATATTTTTTCTAAATACCACATACAGGACTACAAGGACTGCATAAGGGCAAAGCCGAATTCGATATTAACACAGAAACAAAGCGTTGAGATGACATTAGACAAGGCCATATCAGATTTCCCGTTGGATAGAGACTTGAGGACAATGAGCAGGGAGCTACAAAGTATGTTCGGACAAGCAGATTGTTCTACAGGAGCTGTTGATAATAATGAGACCCAAATTCAGTTGTTTGAAACACCAAAGAGAACTGCAAGGTTTCAAAGAAAATGATGAAGAAGGACTCAAGAGCTTTGGATAAAAGCCCAGATTCAACGGTTGGAATGCAGATTGTACCAGGTGCAACCCTTGTCGATTCACCGATCTGGAACAGTCCCTGAACACAAATGGAATTAGATAATTCATTCATTTCATACGCCATGAAGATGCAGCACAAGAACTCTGAAATACCAAAGTTTGACTTTGGTGTTTCGCCTGATAAGACTGTTGAGATTCCGCAACCCCTTTCATACATCCCTGCCTTCAAAAAGTCACTGTTCTCACTAAACTCATAAGTGGGAGCAATATGTGATGCACTAAAGCATCAAGAAGGGATGCAAACTTAGGGGACTCACTAAGATCACCATATGTTAAGCGGTGAGTAGAGATCGATACTGTAGAGACAACATTGGAAAATAAAATTTGCAATTGGATAAATGCAGCAACAGAACCAACTTGGTAAGTACAATTACCTTTAATATATTATGTTTAATACATATACCAAACAAAGTATGGTATTAAATTACCATTTCCAAATACATGATGCAGTGAATCTGTATTTGAGACCACATCAGGAGCTGTTGCGTTGAGAGGCACGATAGAATCCCTATGTGCGCGAACCCAGATATATAGTAATGTTATTGATAATTGGGCAGCATTACTAAACCATGAAGAGTGATTCAGGAACAAATCATCACCGAGAAGGCTTTTTATGCACAGCGCAATTCTTGTAAGTATTCTTCTATAAATAACTTAACTCATATATACAAACTTGTATATTAGCTAACAAGAAAATGGTTGAACCAGTCGACTGCAATGCTTGATTCAAACATAAAGGACATGTTTGTTGACAATCTATTAGCCGCAGTTGGAGGTGATGCATACATGGTTACATTCAAATCGATTGACTTGGTGAGTTAATAATTACTAACTAATGTTATTATGTGTTTTTAGATAATACATTTAACACACAACTACCAATTGCAGTTATTCTTTCCCATTGTTAGAGACATGCATTTCTTTGTGGTGGTGTTCAACTTCAAATGTCCTTCCATATTGGTTATAGATAACCTTGAACAAGATCTTGAATCACCCAACAAATATGAGGAAATACCGGATCTTTTGGTGAGAAACATCAGACAAATTATATTTTTAATTCATTCATTGTATGTTTATTTATTTAATGATTTGAGTCTCATATTTAACTCGTTCTTGCAGCACTTTTTGATGATACAACATCTTAAGAAGGTAGGACATGCATTTTTTGAGGATTTTGTTGGGATAGATCCGGTGAAGATTGCATTGAAATGGTCTACAAAGCAGAATTCGCATGATTGTGGTGTTTTCTTGATGCGTCATATGGAGTATTACATAGGGGAGTTGCCTTACCGATAGAAATCAGGGGTAGATGTGGAAGGATCAAACCAAGTCAAACAACTACAATTATTGAGAAAGAAATACACTGCTAAACTCTTTCTTTCAGACATCAACATTAGACGATCATTTGTGATAGTAGACTGTGAAAAGTTTACCACATTGAATTTGAAGGAGAAAACCCGTTTGCTTAAATGTGCAGAAGCTAACAGGGAAGCGAGGCTCGCAAGTATTTAGGAACTGATTTGGAATAGTATTTCATATCGTATATAGTAAATGGTTTACTTTTGTTACTAGTTTTGAACAGATTCACTAACTGATATGTTAGTCTTGGGTTTTGTTTTCTAGACATATAGTCTGGTATTATGTTATATGAAACGGATATTTCGAAATTTTTTGATAAATGAAGAAATTGTTTTGTGTATTTCATATGTTTTCTAATTTCATTAAGGTGTTTAATGGTTGGTATCACATATTGCAATACATTTATGTATGATGGGATGGGTGATATGTATCACATCATGTCACAGTTATCATATAATACACCATAAATACAAATCATGAATCATACATAATTTAAATAGTCAAAAATTGTTATCACGCAGCTATGGACTGGGTGATTTGTATTATGTATCATATTGTTGCACAGTGAATTACAACTATTAACCATGAATAATGCATCCGTTAAATAGTCAAAAACTGTTATCACACAGGTATGTACCGGGTGATATTTGTATTATGTATCATATTGTTGCATAGTGAATCACAACTATTAACCATGAATCATGCACCATATAAATAGTCAAAAATTGCATAACCAACTTAACTAATTATAATTACTAACATTATAACTTGTACTCAACACAGTACATAAAGTTAAATAAAAACCTGAACTCATATATAATTCCATAAAAAAATGATAACAACTACGAATTCAATTCGATCGATAACATAATAAAAACTGAAGATTGTATTTATATAAAAAGAACTGGCTCGGAAACATAAAAAACAAAGTAGTCCTAATTTGTCTTTGTTGGACAGTTACGGATATCGTGATTAGACATTAACTTGCATCCACTACACATCCTCTTAGGCATGCTACTATTCACTGTTGCTTTCTCAGCTACACCAATCAATCTTTTGGACGTACCACAACCTTTGTTCCTTATACCGGTAGCAGGATGTATCTCAATGTTATACGGTCTTTTAAAACCAAGAATATGTTCTATTCCACGCTGTTTACATTTCATCGAAGGTTCATATATACGATCTTTGGCTACATCATCTCTCATTTTTTTTAGTGTAGCCACAAATGATTCTAGTTTTTCTTTGTCATCTCTTAATATGTCCAACACATTATCGACAACGTCATATGTGTCGTTAATTATTCTGCGTTGATCCTCGCCGACGTCGCATATTCTTTGACGGTTGCTTTGAAGTTCAATCGGCATAAGGTCACGTCTCCATCTTCTCAAAATGTTTTTTTTCAGGTATAGATTCAACACCGGCATTTAGCAAAACTTTGAACACATGTCTGCATAAATAACCATGTCGATCGATGTGATTGCAACTACAAACAATGGTAGACTCCTTCAAATTACGAACAACCTGTACATGATATAAACTTCAAACATCAAATATCACAATCCAGACGTTGTTCAAACAAAACAATAACATATAAAACAAATAAAAAATGACTTTCTATGCAATCATACCTTATACTATGCTATTTTCTCATCTCTTTTGTCTAGATGTTCAATTAAATATGTTTCAGCTTTCTCGTCTGAATTGACACTCTTAATTGAACATGTCCAGGCAGCCCTGTGTATCTCTGTTTGCACCTCAAAAAATACAGAACGTGTGTAAATATCACAAGCGTGCCTCTCCATCTTGATATAGGTCAACCATTTAGGTAAGGTAGTTCTCGTGTGATAATCAAGACGATGTTGTTCCCTACGTTGTTTCTCCAAGGCAAATTCAAATCCCAACATAAACTGAAAAAGATTGTTTCCAATCTTTAAAAAAGAGTTAAAGAATGAGTTCGCATTTTCCGACCTGGATGTTGTCTTGATGAGGCAACACATTGGAAGCTTTTTAAAATACGTGGGTATCCACTAGGATCTTAGAGCAAACATATCTTTCAACCATTGATGATCTTGAAGGGAGAACTCCTCCATAAGAACCATCCATCTACTCTCAAACTCATCAGTTGATATGTGAATGTTCCATACGAGCTTGAAAAATTGTTTCTTAAACGTGGTGTTATTAAGAAGATCATAACTAAACTGCAAGTAAATTAATTATGTAAGCAATTAAAGAATAAACAAAATAATAGGTTGTTCGGTGTCTTTATAACCTTGTTGGGGACTTTATTCATAATGTGCCAAATACAAAGCATGTGCCTTGAATCGGGAAAGACGGATGCAATTGCTTGCTTCATCGCAGGACGTTGGTCGGTAAGAATCATCATAGGGGGCTTCGAATGTGCTTTCTGAAATGCTTGGAGTAGCCATTTGTAATTTGGAACATGCTCATGTCCAATCAAAGCCGATCCAACAACGACATTGCAGTTATGATTGTCAACCGCAGTGAAGGGAACAAAGACCATGAAATGTCTGAAACCATAAACATGTCAGTAATTGTAGTTTATAAAAAAGTCCATCTTCTTTTAAAGCAAAATATACTAACCTGTTGGTTTGGAATGTAACATCAAAAGATATTACATCTCCAAATTCAGAATAATTGAATCGGGCTACCTCATCAACCCAGAAAATAGTATGCAACTCGCTACCAACACAATTGTACTCGAAAAAGAAATTATTATCCGCATCCCTCTTCGTGGTCATCAAATCAACCAATACCTTTGCATCACCACGACCGACAAAATTGTCACAGCCCCTTTTATAATTTTGATAATCGGCAACCGTTGGATCACCGTATTCGTACCCTCCTCTTAGAGATGTATGCAGCTTATGAGCTCGTGTGGCACCCATATTTGATATTCCGGCATCATGAACGAAATGTTGATCTGAAAATTTCATTTGGCGTCCTTTTCTGGTCAAATCTATATCGTCGTGTCTCAAAAGTAAATGGTTGTGATCCTCTTCAAAACCGTAACACTCATATGTTCTTGTTCCTTTCATCAATCGGAACTTCACACATGTTGTACACCCGGTCCTTTTAATATTTGAGTTCCGCACTTCTCTTTGATGTTTACAGTGTACCATCGAATTAAACGACTTTTTCAATGGCAAACCAAACCTACTACATACAAAGTATTTATTTTGTATTACACCATCAGCTTTTGGCTTGATCGTCGTACCTCAAATCCAGCCGTTTCAGCGTATTTTTGGTATACTGATTCTGCTACATCCAAAGACGGATACACAGATCCGATAATGGGCTTCTCAACTTCTTCGACTACAGGAGTATACCAATTATTACCACCTGGTGAGATTGATAAGCCCTCATCTGCTTGATCAATAGCTGAAAACATGAATTCAAAGATAGACTTGGTTATTTATTAATGTACCACAAGTGTGCACATCAACATACTGTCTTTATTAACAATAGTACCACAAACATGATTATAACATGATACATACAGAGGCATTGCAGGTTCTTATACAACAAAACACATCTAAAATTTATACACATAAAATTGTAGATATTAAAGATTTCCAGAATCACAACAAGAACATAAAGCTAATACAGATACAAAGTATAAAGTATTCTGGAAACATGAATTCAAACATAGACTTGGGTATTTATTAATGTACCACAGGTGTGCACATCAACATACTGTCTTTTATTTACAACATTACCACAAACATGATTATAACATTGATACATACAGAGGCATTGTAGGTTCTAATACAACAAAATACATCTAAAATTGCAGATATTAAAGAATTCCATATTCGTAACAAGAAGATCGAACTAATACAGATACACAGTAAGAAGTATCTGTAAACATGCCTTCAAACATACACTTGGTTATATATTTATGTACCAGAAGTGTGCACATCAACATACTGTCTTTATTTAGAACAGTAACAGAAACATGATTATAACATTGATACATACAGAGGCATTGCAGGCTCTAACACATATAATTGCAGATATTAAAGATTTCCAGAATCACAACAAGAAGATAGAACTAATATAGATACACAGTAACTACAGTAAACGTTGTGATGATAATAAATTTAGATAACACACTGTGATACAAATCAGGTTGAACACAGTATACAAAGATGGATGAAACAAAAACCTGGATTTATATCATTCTGAATATCATTGTTCGATGTGTATCATGTTGTATCATCCATTTCATGAGATTCAACATCTTCTACCAAAACAATTTCTTCACAATTTGGGGGGACCTTTTTGAATGAAGAAAGACCCACATCAAAATCTTCATTACTCTCCCAGGTCACAACCTCCATAACATCTACAGTATCTTCATTGGAATTGATAGGCATTGAAGAATCAATAGGATTCTTACCATTGTTCTTCATTACATTAGGGATCTCCATGATGAATATTTTGCAGAAACATTAACTGATTTGATATTCTTAAATATTATGTAGTAAATCTTCAAGAAATATTTGTGATTCCATGTGATAATTTTGAATCATGATCATGTTTACACTCAGGAATTAATTTTTTTGATTTCATTCCACTGAATCGTATTATTGTATAATTTAGGAATGTAAATCAATATTAATTATATTTTATGAAATGCTTCTAATTTAAAAATTAAAATTTCATCATAATTTAGGAATTGACTATCATACCCTTTTATATTGATTTAAGTTGAATAATTAATATACTAAAATGATTGGTTGAGATTGGATCTCACGGTTACCCAATCAATTGAGATATTTATGGAAATGATGAGAGTTCATTTATTATGATTTGAATATTTATGGAAGATGACTGGGGTTCATTAGTTATGATCAATACTTTATATTAAGAAACAATATAAACTTTTATGAAATCATATATTCATCAAATTAAATGGACGGTTGAGATTGAATTATATTGGTTGTACAAATGTAAAGGGTTGTATAATAACTCACCCCCTCTCCATCTCTCTCCATATATATATATATATATATATATATATATA